CTTGGAACAAATTCCTGAGAGAATAATTTCCTGACGACTATAACTTTAGTCTCTAAATCCAGGGTCAACCGATATCTATCGTACTCGTCCTCAATACACACTCTTACTTTCCCCTACCTTACTATCTAATTCAGTAACTCTCTAGCTTGAGTGGCCCTTGGGCCTTGTGTTGGGTGAACTATCATCAAAAGATAATATGAATAGATACTACTCCTTTGATCACCAGCCCGCAAAACTGATATCTGTTAGAAATAAAGCCAAATTCAGCACGAGACAAAATTCGTTTTGATCCCCGCAATGATCAAAAGTTCGGCAATACTTTGCACGGGTTCTTCCATGTGTGCACGCAAACTAGATTGCAAGGGTAGACAAACCACGTGTAAATTAGCCACCGAGCATTTCCCACTGGATCATTTTATCAGTTCATTCTCACCTTAAACGTAAAACTACATAAAGGTGAAGATAATGGCAAGCGCCCACTGGCAAATGACTGATAAATTAATGCAACGAATGAAGAACAGAGTTGAAACAGTTCTCCTGTTCCCTTTTACTAGATACCACCTTGCCAAAAATCCAGGAATTATCCCATTCAAACGAAATTTATAGTCAATTATGTGCCATGCGTGATACATGACTGGCGAGGCAGATTTTTTTCCTGCCATTTCTTTCTGCAGTAGACCAGTTGCCTTCCAAGGCTCTATTTACCCATAGCGATGGGGAAGAAGAAAATTCATGCATTTCCCAAGGATTTATTAACACATAAGTGGATGCAGTGGATTCGACTGGAAATTGAAATCGGCTCTCCGATTCCTCAATCCGAACCGCTATCCATTACTCCACCATTTTTAACAGTTACTAGCAGTAGAGCCCAGCGTTGCCCGGGGATATAACAGTAAGAGATAGATCAAGTATCGACCATCATAAAGACTGAAAAATAAAATTGACAAAGATTATTGTTTAAGGTTGACGGACACGCATGTCTTAATTAGTTTTTGTTGTTGTTGTTTTTTACGAATTGGTCAAACCCAAACTCAAACAAAAACATTGTTTTCAATCGTTATGAGTCTACCGATTGAATAGAATTTTATTATAAACAAGTGTCTTGTAAATGGAATTTTTAAAGAAATATGAATGTAAAAATAAAGAAAAAAGTGTGCAAGACAATAAGAAACACTACCTGCCAAAAAAAGTGAAGTTTTGTTGAAATCGGTTGAAAAATATAGGAAATCCGATCCCATATATAAATGAAACACACACACACACACACACACACACACACACACACACACACACACACACACCAACCAACCAACCTGGGTTTTATAATAAGTATAACTCGATAACTCGATATTAATAATTATAACTCGATATGACTTGTCCCCCTTTTATTAATGCCTCTTAATCGTGTTTTCAAATTGATTTCGTGCAAAAACAATTGTGTTTTTCCAATTTTGGGCGCTGTCAGAACCATCGCAAGGTAATTTTACGTAGTCTTGTGAAGTTTTGTTGAAATCGGTTGAAAAATGTAGGAAATCCGATCCAATATATAAACGTACAGACACACACACACAATCTGCGTTTTATAATAAGTATGATTCAGTAATGAATGAATTGTATACTGTTATTTTATTAGAAAATTTTGTGAAAATATTATTTTGAAATCGGTTACACCGACTCCTTTTCGATGTCTCGTGTTTCGTTTTTGATTTGAGAGGTGTTCGTCAATTTTTTTACAGTTATATAAAGAAAATTCCATGCAGATGTTTTTTCAGTAAAAGATTTATGTAGATCATTTTTGTATGGATGTACAAAAGGGAAATAATTCATATTTCTCGCTTTTGAGCATTCTACTAAATTTCATTCTATAATTTTATGATAAAAGTATAGAATAAAAAATTGCATTCTTAAACTATTGTCTATAAAGGATTATAATAATTCTATGGACAAAATAAAAATAAAGGCATCACTTGGATGCCTGTGAAATTGTGAATAAGAACTCAAAGTGAACGTAATCAATTAAAATTATCAATTCAATAACTCGACCAATTTTTCCCATTTTTTTTGTTAGTAGCAATTCCGTTATTTTAATAGATTTTCTTAAATTTGGTATTATTTTTAAAAATTTATATTGAACGCAATTATATATTTTATGGCATGTATGTAAGAAAACTACTTCTAAAGTATAAAAATAAAATTATTCATTCTACTACTAAGTTTAATAAAAAAAATAAAAATTATATTTTTAAACTATTGATTAAATGAGTTTAAACGCAATTTATTTTTAAACATAAATACCAATTTTTTTTTTATTATTGCACTACAGCTGTTCCGTATTTCTTTAAATTTCATTTTTAATTTTCGCGTTTAAGTCATCATTGTAGAGCCTTTGTGTTTAGTTTCTTTGAACCCACCGGCTACTGTGCATAAATAAACGTTATTTTCATTAATTTTTAAGTAAAAAGTAAGCATTACATTTACAAAATCTAGTTAATTAATCCTTAAATTTACTAAATGACTTAGAAACATATCTCAAGGAAAAATATTAGATTTTTAAAAAAATTTTAAATTTACATATTTCGATGAGTCCACGAGTGACGAGAAAACATACCAATGTTTAAAAAACACCTAAAAATTTTAATTACATTAAACACCTAAAAATTTTAATTAACTTTCAAATAAACTCAAAAATTAACTCTATATTTTTAAATTATTTAAAATGTGTTTTTCGAGTGTTTTTAGGAAAAATTGTTCTATAATTCTCCGAAAAAAACAACATAGCATGATGAAAAAATGCCCTAAACTTAATGAAAACAAAGTTTTATCGTGAAAAAGTTTATGCTATTAAGAGGAAAGAAGTATTTTTAATTTTTTTTAAACTTTTATTCCTTTCTAGCATGCTTGAAATTTTGGTTGAAAATCTTTTTTTTTACGTCAGCAGTCGTGTAATATTTAGCATTAGTTTTTTAGCGCTTTTTTCAGTTGGAAAACACATTAATTTGGAAATTTTTGCAAAAATCAAATAATTGTTAGATCTTAATGAAACTTTCAGAACTTATTCAAAAGTGAATGAAATTATTTTAGAAATGTTTGTCTTTTAGAAAATCATGGTAAAAATATATTTTTTTTTACATCTCTAACCCCCTTACTTAATTTCATGAAAACTCGAAAACTTGACTATGTGTACTTTGGTAATTTTTTAATTAAATGCAGAAGATTTTGAAGAATATAAATCATCGATTTCTTTTGTAAATTGAGGAGCGTTTCTACCCAAACATTAGCTCTGAATTGTAAAATAAAAAACCCAATAAAACTAAAATATCATTTAATTAAAAAAGCTTTTAATTGCTTTTATGAATAGTATTATTCAGAACATTATTACCTGAAGCCAAAAAATTTTTTCGACAAAAAATGAATTTTTACAAGAATTGTTTTTTTTTTTTTTTTTTCAATTTTAAGTACAAAATGTGATAAAGTTGTTAAATATTTTAAATTTAAGTTTGAATATGTGTATCTCTGGAAAAGCATTTCTTAAAAGTTCTATTTTTACAGATCTTAAATTTGAAAGCTTATTACAATCTGCGAAGCGTTTCTATTTTTAAAATATTTTTTTGATATGCCAAAAAATGTATTTAAAAACGTTTCCATCAAAACTACATTCAGAAATAATGTCCCGTGTTTTAAGAGTTGTTTTTCATGATAGCGAGTATCCGGCCTTATAAATTGCGTTCATTTCATTCTGACTAGCACGTATCAAATTCTCGGCCAGATTATCATCGTCGCATTTTCAAAATTTTTAATTTTGTTTTTTTTTTGTTTTTTTACAAATTTCAATAAATATTTTCTTTTCATTTTTTAAATATAATCAATTTTTTTCTTTTTCAGTGAGAAACACTGAAATTATTAATTTTTCTTTTTTTAGATTCAATTTTAGGGACGGAAACAGTGCAGGCTTTATTAGACATATCTTCGTTAAAAAAATGTACCTAAAAAATCAATAATATATTCGATTTTTGAAAGTACTTAATTTTTAAGAATTACTTATAGTCAAATAAGCTGGTTCACTTAAAATTCGAAAATACTGTCACTTCTGCCCTTCCGTCCGATAAATTGCCCTAACGTTAGTTGTCAATACATTAACGTAAACATCAATTCACACCTCCAAAACCAATCACCACGGTTAGACATGCTTCTCTTATTTCCAAATAAATTATTTCTGCTAAAAAATTAAGTAATGTTTGTTTTCAATTACATTAAGTATACTTTAAATTTTCTAATTTTCCAAAAATAACTTTTGTTAAAAGTATAATTAAATTTTACAAGATTTTTAAACAGAGAATTTCACTTTTGTCTACAAAGTTGTCAAAAATGGCTGATGTGATCGATTTTATGTACATTTTGTTGTTTCAAATAAAAAACGAGATTTTTAACTAATATTTCGGACGTGATAGAAAGGATTTAAAAAAAAATTAAATAGTCAAAAAATACTTTGGTCTTTCCTCTTAATGATAACATAAACATTTAGACGATAACAAATTGTTTAATCAAGTCTGGAGCCTTTATTCATCAGGGAATGCTCTGTTTTTAGCGAAGTATTTAATATACCTTAGCAGTACCTACTTTTAGGTAGAAGCATTCACAGATATTGACGCTTTTTGCGATTATTATAAGTTTATTTTTTGGCTTTGTTTGCATGTGTTCACTTTTTAAGCGCCTATATTTACAAATGTATACACACACACATACGCACACACACGCACACACACACATTTTTTTTTTAAATAAATCAATATGGAACAATACACAGCTTAATATTAATATATACTCACGCAAAATCACTCTTTTTTGACGCACAAAGCCCTTGGTGATCCCAGAATAAAATATACAATTTATAAATGAGTAAATTATGATTACAAATAAAAATAATGTAAAATGATATACCAGTTTCACCGTTGTAGTTTTTTTTCAGAAATCTCCCATGCTAAATTTTAAATGCGCGGTATATGAAAGGAAATAGGATAATTCTTGCCAAAGCACCAGAAGAAATCTATCTATCTATCTATCTATATCTATCCAAGTCTGTTCCCGATCCTTCTGCCTTGTGCCAGATTTAATGTTGTGAGTCCTTTCTTTACTGGGCACACATTGTAGTTGGCTTTGTCAGTTTCGGCTAAACTTAGGATCGAAATGGACTTTTTTGTTGATATTTAAAAAAATGTTACCATTGCAATTTGAAAACTTGGTGTATTAACGAACGGGAGAAGCAAAACTGTTTCAGTCCCCAGGATACAAGACATTAGCTTTTCTTTGTATTACTCATAGTCTTGAAAAAGGCATGAACCCCGCTATCCTGCGCCAAGTCGTTTTGCTTTGTCCCTCTCATCACACCACGTTGTAGGTACCTCCACAGATTCGGGAGAATTAAAAATAAAATTAATTTTTATGAATGAAAAATCTTTCTTGAAGCTTTTATTCTAGTTTTAATTTCAAGCTAATAAATTAAATTTAACATTTCCAGTGAACAAAATACTTTGCTATATTTAAAATTGTCTGTAAGGAGTTTTCGTTTTGAAATTGTTAAGCATCGCTGATTTTAGGAGGGCCATATTTAGATATTTCATCACAATGTAATTCTCTTTATTATTAAAAATTTTTAAAAAATGAAAACATTTTTTGTAAAAATTCATTATACATCGAAAAAAAATGTTTTTTTTAAGACAATAGTGTCCATAATATATCTTATTCATAAAAGCAATTAAAAGTTTTTCTAAATAAATAAATAATGTCTTAGTTTTATTGCCTTTGATTTTACGATTCAGTGCAGATTTTCCGTAACTAAGAGTCTCGTTTTACAAAAATAAATTGACGATTTAAGTTCTGAACTAAACATTTTCAGTGGCATAAACAAAATTTAATTTCCCGAAATGTCATAAAATTAAATGTGAGGTTGTAACAAATGTAAAAAAAATATTTTTTACCAACATTTTCTAAAGAGAACATTTCTAAAATAATTTAATTCATTTGTGAATAAGTACCGAAAGTTTCATTTAAAATCCGACAATTTTTTGATTTTTGCAAAGATTTTCAAAACAATGTGATTTTCGTCGCAAAAGAGACGCTAAAATTTCATTTGGCCACCGCGCTGACGCAATAAAAAAAAAAAGATTTTTTTAACCAAAATTCCAAACGTTCTAAAGGATAAAAAATATAACTTAATAAAAATAAGATCATTTTGCCTTTCCTCTTAATAATGACATAAAGATTTTGTTGATAGAATTTTGTTTTTATTAAGTTTGGTGCAATTTTCACCGGTGTCTACTAATTTTTTAGGGAATCGGTGGTGTTATCTACGTTAGAATGTAAAAAAATATGATGAGAGAACAATGCTATGCAAGTCCCACTAATAATTTCTACAGTTTTATATTGCCTTTACCCAGTTTATCCTCATTTGCATAAGGACCTCGCGCAAGATTTACTGTCTGTATTGTGTAGCGTCAGACTCAAGATGGAAAGGATAGCGCACAGGATATCAGGCGTAAAAACTGAAGATTGATCATTGACTAGTAGCCGAATAGAGGCTAAAAAGCTGATAAGTGGGACCAGCTTGTTACCGATCTCTCCAGCGTGGCATACCTCTATGATATTTAATTTATTTTATTTGTTGCGGGGAGGGGGCAAATATGACGTTTCGATTTATGGAAACAGAAACACTAACACATATGTTGTGTATGAGGAGGAGTCATGTGAACAATCTCTCTCTCACTCTCTCTTTACTTCTCTCTCACTCTCTCTTTACTTCTCTCTCTCTCTCTCTCTGTATGTATGTTTTGTTTGTATGCGTGAGTGCGTGATTGCCACGTGAATACGTGTGTACATCCTAAATGTTTGTAAATAGTTCGACTATTTTTAAAAATCTGTTGTCATGTGAGTGAATGTCTCTATGAGTGTGCGCGTGTGTGTGTGTGTGCGCGTGTGTGTGTGTGCGTGTGCGCGTGTGTGTGTGCGTGCATGCTTGTGTGTGTGTGCGCGTGCGTGTTAATGTTTGATAGCATGCGTACGTGCGTGTATTTCTTTTTCTTTTGTAACGAAGTGATTTGTTGCTTGAAAGAAGAAAAACTAAAGAATAATGGTTTTAATTAGTGCGTCCATTTTAGATAAGTAAAGAAAGGGAAATAAAGGTGTTTCACTGTTTTTTTGTCTTAAGGTGTGTGGGTGAGATCATAAAAGGCGGGGTGGAGAGAGAACCCGAAAAAGACGTTATGATTTATAATCAAACTCTCTTTCACGTTCTCTCTCCAAGACACATGCACAATATTTTTACGAACTCTCCCACCCATAGTCAAAAGAGAAAAAGAAGGAAGTAGTAAAAGTTAGCAGAAGAAACACTACAGTAAAAGAAGTAGTAATTCTTCTCTCTCTCTCTCTCTCGTTCACACACACACGCACTCAATCTCTCTCTCTCTCTCTCTCTCGTTCACACACACGCACTCAATCTTTCTCTCTTTCTTTCTCTTTCCCGCTCACTCACTCCCTCTCCCTTTATTTTGACTATGACAATCAATTTACTTTACTCCAAATGAACAACACAAGTACGTAAAAAGTGTAAATCTCGAATCCATTTGTTTCGTTCCGTGTCCGTGTATGTCTGTGTGTGTGCATGTGTGTGTTGTGTGTGTGTTTGTGTGCATGTGTGTGTGTATACGCGTGCGGGTATATGTGTGCTCTGATGAAATTCTTTCAACTCTTTAACTGCTTTTTTCCCCTTCTCCTCGCCACCAACAGCATTCATTGTTCGCCGGCGCTAAGATCTCTGACAGTCACAAACACAACTGTCACTCCGTTCTCCAACAACAACACATACACACACAGACACACTAAAAAAAAAAAAAAAAAAAAAGAAAAGAATTGGAGAGGTGGGGTCTCATTCAGATCCCCGGACATCACCATCATGTCCTACCGTTTCTCAGTTCTTCAACATCACAAAGCCTGGGAAGTTTCACCACAAGAGAATTGGCAGTGCATGGTCGTACATTATCCCTCCGATTGTTCGAGTTGTTGCAAACAATTTGCTAATTCCTGGAACAGTACGTATATTGAAATTATTACCTACTTTTTACATACTTACTCATTCCTCAAACACCCCATCTAATCCACCCAGAATTTCTCTTTCTCTCTCTCGCTCTCCCCCCACCTATCTCTCTCTCTCTCTACCCAGTCCTTATCTGTGATATCCGATGGAGATCACATGCTCCCTTCTTCTACGTGTGTAGAAAATATATTCTTCATAGCAGTACTGAGTTTCCCCTTAACCTTTTGTTTTTAGGATTGCATTTGAAAACAGTCGAATAGATTTTTGTTTTTCGGTATTTATTTCAAAACGTTTTTTGGCTCATCTATTTTCTGGTTTATTCCTAAACTTAAATTTAAAAAAAAAAGAAAACAACTTTTTATTTTTGTGATAACAAAATTGACAACTTTTAGTGTCGTTATCTAACGATTTAAACAATTTAACTAAAAAAAAAAAAATCTTACTTAATCTATTTTTTAAAATTATACCGAAAAAATGTGTTTTTGTTTTGCTTGGGTTTTGTCGGGGGTGGAGTATATACAACTTTGTATTTTTTAAACCCAAAATTCAACCACTGAAGAAATTCATTTCGGGTCTAAAACTGTACTTAACTTTTTTTTTTAATTGAAATTTATTTTTTATTCTAGCCTTCTTCGTAACGAAAAAAGAAATTTAAAACTATTTTTACTTTAAAAAAATACTTTCTTTGTTTAAAAAGGCACTCAAGTTGCATTTTCTGCAGCCATCAATTTGATGATAGTTTTGCTTCTTCGGCGACTTTTTAAAACTGCGTCATTTTTGCTCAAGCCAAAAATCTAAGCCTGAATTAGAAATTGAATAATAATTTCAACATTCAAAAAAACGGTAATACTAAAAACAGTAACACAATTTCTTTAACTACAAACTAATATCCGGATTTTTATTGTTTTTCTAGCCACAAACAATAACGATTCTTTTTATTAGCGTTCGGCTTCCCACGCTGAAGAAGATGTATTTCGATTTCTCTAATGATGCCATGTGACTATAGACGACAATCTTGTCACCTGACGAGGGTCGGAAAACAACCGATCGGAACGTCGGGAAAACATAAATAACAAAAAACAACAAAAAATGCATTTCATTAAAGAAAAGATACGAAATATGGTGTTTTTTAATCACATAAAAATTTTGGTTTTTTTGATTCAAAGAGTTTTATTTATATATTCCTTTGTTGTTTTTTGTTTGTTGTTTTTTTTTTTGTTTTGTTTTTTGTTGTTGTTAGTTATTTGTTTCGTACTGGGAAGTGGCTGAGTTAGTCACTTAATTTTAAAAAAAAAAACTTTACTACAATTTACGTCCTCGCATTTATGGGTGGATGAAAATCTGTACTTGACTAAGGAGAAAATAAACTGCGTATGGTTTTTAGGATTTATTTATAATGTCACGTGGTTGTCGCTGCAAAGAGTACTATAAACCGCGTAAAAAGAGAAAGACAGTTTTTGAGTTTTGAAAAGCTGTCCGTATCTTTGTTGTCACCACGTTTCTCTCGCTCTCTCTCTCTCTCTCTCTCTCTCTCTCTCTCTCTCATTCTCTCTCTCACTCTAGTTCCCCTCTCTCTTTCGTTATCATTCTCTCTTCCATTCCCACTCTCACTCTCTCGCGCTCATTCTCTCTCTCATTCTCTCTCCTACTCTTTCTTCCAATCGTTCCAGTTTTATCATTCCCTTTTTTTCTATTTTACAATAATTTGTTGGAAAATAAAGATGTTTAATATTTCAGTGGAATCTTCTCGTATTGCTAGGCAAATATGATTGTCTTTAAAAATGACAGATTTCGTTTTAACTTTGACGTGTTTCAGTTTATTATTTATTTTTCACTTACGGCTTTTTTTTAAAACTGCCTAACTCGTAAAACAGGTTGAAAAAAAAGAACATATTGTTTCACTTTTAGTCAAAGATAAGTTTTGAAAGGAATTGATCTTACTCTTAATTTCCCATATGTCGTCATTAATGTAGTAAATAAAACTTACCGACACGTTTTTATTTTTAATATTCGTTCTTTTAAAGACGAACAATTCATTCAAACTAATAAATTATTAGTTTGAATTGAATTGTTTTCCTCGCAGTATATTAGTATTCTTTTTAGTTGCAAAAGTAAGTATAAAAACTAGTGCTCACTCATCTCATGTACACCTGCTAATCTCCCATCATGCTTTTTTTGTGAAAGAAAGAAAATTGTACTATTATTATGAAATGTCTTCTTTTTTACCCCAGTGCGTGCGTGCGTGTACGCTTTTTGTGTGTGTGTGTGTGTGTGTGTGTGTGTGTGTGTGTGTGTGTGTGTGTGTGTGTGTGTGTGTGTGTGTGTGTGTGTGTGTGTGTTTTCTGAACGTTTCCATTCATAAAATAAGGTGCACTTTCGTTGGATCTTTTTCTGAATGACTTCGAAATATCACATTGGGTTTATTTTAGTTAAAGCCTGTAAAAGATTTTTTTTTTTAAATAACGAAGACTGCTATAACTGCTGCTAATGGACACTAGGCACTCTTCGATGTCACCATCAGTTTTTGTTTTTTTTATCTCCCGAGATATTGAAAAAAAAGAAAATGAATCTTCTAAATGAAATTGGGAACAAATTATTACTGATTTTTTTAGTTTGCTTTCTTTATTTATTTTTATGGGATGTATTAATTCTGCTTTGCCAGATTATTTCGAATTTCTTTAATAATTAATCTCATTTTCATTCACGCAGTAGACTTTTTATTTTTGTTTATTTGTTTGTTTGTTTGGTCCTTTGTTCATTTTTTTGTCTTCACAAAAATCATTGATGCCCTTGTTTTTACCCTGTTCTTTCTATCCTAAAAAATAGACTTCAAACGAAAATAAATGCGACATCCTACACAGTTAAGGTTCATTTCTAATTCATTTTTTCCTAAATGAGATAATATAAATTGTTTTTTTTTTTTGTTTGTTTGTTTTTTTTTAATTTTCATGAATGCCCCACGTTTACAAACATCCCAACTCCGAGTGAATGGCACATTGGCAACTATCATTTTCCAAACATACGCGCATGCGCTTCAGTGAATAATAAATGTGACAACGAATGAAGCACTTCTCTTGCCATTATTAACAACACTGTTTTTACTGCTGTTTTCAGGAGAAAGGCGTGTACTTTAGAACGGCCACGCGTACAATTATAAACACATAGAGACTGAAACATTTTCTTTCTCAGCAATCAACTCTTTTGTTTTGTATAACGTTTTTAAAACTGCCATCTAGACAAATAAATGACACATCTCCTTGTTGTTTAATGGTTAGCAAACTGATTCGCCATGAGTTCGATCCCCACTAGGTGTCCCGTGATTGCAACCTTTGTTCTCAACTAAAAACTAAGCTTCAGTGTCTGGAAAATAAGTAAAATGGTTCTTCCAAATAATAGAAAGGGAGAAAAGAATTATGACAATAAGATGAAAAAGCCGATGTGAATTCCTATAAAAAGAAAAATTGTTTTTGGTTTGCATTATTTGTGTAGAAAAACTTACATTATTTCAAATTTGGGATGTAACGATCCGTCTCTCATTCTCACACACTCTCTCTCTCTCTCTCTCTCTCTCTTATCACTGGTATGGATATGAGTTTGTGACTCTCAGTTTCACGCTTTTGAAAAATAAAACTAGTTTGTCTGATGATCGCAAAAGCGTGAAACCCAAGGTCACAAACTCATATCCATACAACTGAATGTGTTAGTTCTATCGCTGATATTGAACACTTTCCACTCCATATGCGTAATATATATATATATATATATATATATATATATATATATATATATATATATATATAAGTAAATCTATTTAAACATATGAATTATTTTCTTCTTCTATGTGCTGCGTCCCTTGGCAATCATAGCTTCCACAATTTCCTGTTTATTGAAGCTCTTAATATTTTTTGTAATCTCTCCTAAACCCTGTTCCACGTTCCAGTTACACAAGCTCACCAGGTGGTCTATGCATTGTTTTCCTCTGTCCCTTTTGCCTTCAATCTGTCCTGTGAGTATCAAAATTTCCAAGCACTCTTTTCTAATTATGTGCCCTAGAAATTTCAATTGATTTAACTCTAGTGACTGTATCATTCCTTCCAGATAAAATATTTAAATAAATAAAAATCAAATCAAATCCATCCAATGTTTGGAAACAAGTTGAATTATTTTAAGTGGAAATCAAGGGTTAGTGATTCATTCATTCTTGTCCTTCTTTACTATGTCCTGTTTCCTTTTAGGACATAGACAATCATGGCTCTCTACAATTTCCTGTCCATAATACAGGCATTACATACAAAGCTGAGCGCTAAGTTAAAACTAAAACAGTCCTAAATCGTAATTTGGATTTGTGGTGATATTAATGGTAATTTGTTTGAGTGTATATCTTGTTTAAAAATAAAATAATTTAGATTGGAAAATAATCTTTTATTATTAACTTTCTAAAATTGCGAATTTAACTTTCAATAATTGAAGGAAGATTTATTCTTGCTTCCTTCTCTCTTTCTTCTTTTTCATCCTTCTCTTTATTCCTTACCGATACCTTTACAATGAACTGGATGTTTTTATTCATTAGTATCAGTCAGTTATGCGCCATGCATGATACACGAGTAGATTTTTTCCCCACAGTAGGTTGACATTTCTTTCTACAGTAGACCAGTTGCCATCCAAGGCTATAGAACCCAGTCTGTCCTGCTATTTACCCATAGGTGAGGGGAGAAGACAAGGATCCATACCTTTCCCAAGGGTGTTAGCACGTAAGTGAATGTAGTGGATTCGGCTGGAATTCGAACTCGGCTCTCTGATTTCTCAATCCATGCTGCTATCCATTACTCCACCATGCCTCTCATTCATCAGTATAGTGTCCACAAAAAATGATGAGCTTATTATGGCTTGGTATTTATGGCTAAGAATCAATGTATCTGTATTCACTGTTTAAGATCAAAGTGTCACACCCAATTCTCTATCAGATCCCCGGGATCCTAACTCTGCAGCAGCGCCTTCTTCATTGTACTAATGAGGAAGGATTGGTTGGTAAAAGCCAGCACGACAGTGATGGTGAAAACTGGAAAATCATTTTTCTCTTTGGCCCATATATATGCGTATAGGCACACCACATCAAACTGACGTTGTGAAACATCCTATAACAGTCGGGAGATGAGTACATACTGGGTGTAGCATCCATGCAATCTATATAAAGATGCTGCTTCCCGATTATATCACAGATAGGAATTATTAAACAAGTGAAAAATTCAATACTAATAACATATATTGGGAGTAAACTGATAATGATATTTTCATGGTGGAAATCATTTAGCTTCATGTATAATTAGAATTATGCAAAATATATTGACTGTTTTATTGCTAATTGATGATTAATTAACTAAAGATTTGTGGTAATTAACAACCACCTCAATGGTTCTAATGCTTCCTGCCAATCAAAATGTCAGGCAAAAATGGTAAGAGATGTAATCAAAAAAAGATGACAAGAGTGATAGTGCCTAAGCTTAACCACTCATTTGCTTAAAAGAACTAGTACAATGAGCGATTATTAGAGACCATATTTGTATGAATAAAGATTCCTTTTCTTTAAATTACCCCAAAATGAAATACTTTAAATAGATTGTAGGCGACCCAATGTTAATAAATGGGGTGATAACATTGGTTCTCTTAAAGTTGAATCCAGTAACAAAGGGTGACCTCTGACCAAGAACACAATACTCATTCTTCATGAACATTACTACGTTTTTTTTTTCATTATTAGACGATATGCTACCCTGCAAAAAAAATTGACAGATATTGCTGATAATATTCAAGAAGAATTATCACTCAAACACAGTCAATATGCTAAACAATCATTCTTCCAATCACAAAGATGATTACAAGACGCTAAGATAAGAAATGAAAGTTCTTTTACAAGAATGACATACTCACGAGAAGTCACAGCACAGAAAAGGCGACGTCAGACAACGCAGTTCCAGTCAGCGGAGGTAACATTTCAAGCCGGATGGATTTTATTGGTACCACAACACTTTCAGGATCAGGGCAAGAAAATGTGAAAAAAAAAGCCTTGCATGTTTAAAAACAAGAAACAGGAAAGCAACCATTCCAGGAAGTAAGTAAAATAAGTGCTCCTCAAATGTCTTTACAATATTGTTTCTTCTAAATCACTAAGATGACAGAATGCATTTCTTTTGTCAATACAAGAGTTGGCAAGTTTAATACCAGCACCTCTTACATACAGATTATTGTTAGAACCATTAAAACTATAGGCAGCAGTAAATGGAAGCAAGATTGAAGAATATAGGAAAAAAATCGCTGACTTTCCGCTTTGGAATGTAATGAAATTTCATTTGGGTTTTACACTGGACCAATTGAAAATACTCAGGACATGTTTTCAACCTGTTCAGATATAACAAGACATATCTCACAATTAATGGAATCAGGTTTTAATCTGTATTACATGATAATAACAAAATAGTACAACAATTTCCTGATATCACAAAATCATTCAGAGAGATAAGATGAAGCACCATTCCATCATTTCAACTTTTGCAATCAACATCAAAGCGATTGAACCTTGTAAAAATTTAAAATAGCAAAAGATGAATTCAAACGCATGTTTCAGCTAGGAATCCTTTATCCAGATAAGAGCATTTCGACAATACAATAAAC